AAATTGGAAGATTTATGAAACTAAGTAATTATTGAAAAACGCTTACATTGGTTAATATCTAATAGCTTTGTTCAATATACTGATGTTGTCTGGTGATCGTGAACAGTAGTCCAACCTCTCATAGCTATTTTGACAGTTTCTGTCTCTGTGGTGAATTTAGAGCAAGGCCACGACAATCAAACTAGTTGGACACGGGTGAATACACTTCTTCTTTTAAATTCTTAGTACAAAACTCTACTCGTCATCATTCATGGTTCATGGTCTGGTGAAAAACACGAATATCCTAGTGTCCAATAACACATTTTATCGAATATATATATATAAATTCGTGATCGTACCCTAAAAAGATTATCAATACAAGATCAGTCATATGACAGATCAGAATACCAATTAAATTTGCATAAGTATCCGGTAAAACACTTTAATAATCTGTTATACTATACCAAATAGAATCTTGTTCATATCACGTGCTGCTCTCTGTACCTATATAACCGCGGGGTTCAGATATACGCTACTTTATTTTGCTTTGTTGAGTAAGTATATTTTTAACTTATATTATATGAATGCCGCTAATTCCTTTTATTCTATATTTTAAGGACTGTGATTTTTTAATGTGTCCGTTTAACACTTATTGCACTAATTTGCACCATTCCAATTACATTTTCAATCATAGGTCTGTGGTTCCTGCTATTCCACTAAAACTAAGAGTTTGAATACGTCACTCATCGCCAAGGACCTTATGTGATAAAGCATATTATTTTTCAAATAGTGACGTCATCAAACACTTAGCGTTAGTAGACGTGCAGGAACCACAGCTGACGGAATGATGCAAATTGATGCTATCAGTGTCCCAATATACATATTTTTTTTACAAAATCCTCTTTATTGTAATACTAGGCTAAGAAGGTCTGGATTTATTTTTCAACTATATACTTACGTATGAGTAATATTCGACGAAAATCATGTCATGACAAATAAAATTATGATGCGGTTTCCTTTGTGTTTTTAAAAATTGCACTTCATGGTTTTTTTTAGTAATTTTAGTGAGACCTGCGAGCTGTTAGCATCCTATAACATAAACGTATGATACAACAATGCTAAATTTAAAATTATTAAAAATTTAGAATATTTCTCTAGTCCTACTTGCGACTAATGTAGGTTTAAGACTTTTTAAACATATGCATCACAAATAGGTTTTTATCTGAATTTAAACATTAGCAACTGAATCAGGTTTCTATTCTCATTTTCATCATTAACAGCTAAATCAGGTTTTTATTCTATTTTAATCATTAGCAACTGAATCATGTTTCTATTCTTATTTTCATCATTAACAGCTAAATCAGGTTTTTATTCTATTTTAAACATTAGCAACTGAATCATGTTTCTATTCTCATTTTCATCATTAACAGCTAAACTAGGTTTTTATTCTATTTTAATCATTAGCAACTGAATAAGGTTTCTATTCCCATTTTCATCATTAACAGCTAAATCAGGTTTTTATTCTATTTCAATCATTAGCAACTGAATCATGTTTCTATTCTCATTTTCATCATTAACAGCTAAATCAGGTTTTTATTCTATTTTAAACATTAGCAACTGAATCAGGTTTCTATTCTCATTTTCATCATTAGCAGCTAAATTAGGTTTTTATTCTATTTCAATCATTAGCAACTGAATTAGATTTTAAGGTATCTTATAAAGTGATACTACGTCTTAGAATGAACATGAAATTCAATTCTCAAGAATGGTCAATATGAGTATATATTCATCAGTGAACTTACCTGGTGTCATAAAGTTACAACAGAATCCCTGTAAAATCTAGAAAATTGGAAGATTTATAAAACTAAGTAATTATTGAAAAACGTTTACATTGGTTAATATCTAATAGCTTTTTTCAATATACTGATGTTGTCTGGTGATCGTGAACAGTAGTCCAACCTCTCATAGCTATTTTGACAGTTTCTGTCTCTGTGGTGAATTTAGAGCAAGGCCACGACAATCAAACTAGTTGGACACGGGTGAATACACTTCTTCTTTTAAATTCTTAGTACAAAACTCTACTCGTCATCATTCATGGTTCATGGTCTGGTGAAAAACACGAATATCCTAGTGTCCAATAACACATTTTATCGAATATATATATATAAATTCGTGATCGTACCCTAAAAAGATTATCAATACAAGATCAGTCATATGACAGATCAGAATACCAATTAAATTTGCATAAGTATCCGGTAAAACACTTTAATAATCTGTTATACTATACCAAATAGAATCTTGTTCATATCACGTGCTGCTCTCTGTACCTATATAACCGCGGGGTTCAGATATACGCTACTTTATTTTGCTTTGTTGAGTAAGTATATTTTTAACTTATATTATATGAATGCCGCTAATTCCTTTTATTCTATATTTTAAGGACTGTGATTTTTTAATGTGTCCGTTTAACACTTATTGCACTAATTTGCACCATTCCAATTACATTTTCAATCATAGGTCTGTGGTTCCTGCTATTCCACTAAAACTAAGAGTTTGAATACGTCACTCATCGCCAAGGACCTTATGTGATAAAGCATATTATTTTTCAAATAGTGACGTCATCAAACACTTAGCTTTAGTAGACGTGCAGGAACCACAGCTGACAGAATGATGCAAATTGATGTTATCAGTGTACGATACACATATTTTTTTTTTACAAAATCCTCTTTACAATCCCTTTATTGTAATACTAGGCTAAGAAGGTCTGGATTTATTTTTCAACTATATACTTACGTATGAGTAATATTCGACGAAAATCATGTCATGACAAATAAAATTATGATGCGGTTTCCTTTGTGTTTTTAAAAATTGCACTTCATGGTTTTTTTTAGTAATTTTAGTGAGACCTGCGAGCTGTTAGCATCCTATAACATAAACGTATGATACAACAATGCTAAATTTAAAATTATTAAAAATTTAGAATATTTCTCTAGTCCTACTTGCGACTAATGTAGGTTTAAGACTTTTTAAACATTTGTATCTCAATTAGGTTTTTATCTGAATTTAAACATTAGCAACTGAATCAGGTTTCTAATTATTGAAAAACGCTTACATGTAATTATAATATTAAGCGTTTTTCAATAGTTAATTGCATTTTTATTAAGTTTTTTGGATTTATCGGATTATATGTTATTTATGACACCAGGTATATCTACTGATGAATATATGCTCTTAATGGCCAAGTTTAAAGTTTTTAAATTTTATGTTTATTCTAAGACGTAGTATCCCTTTAAACATAAGCAACTAAATTAGGTTTCAATTCTAGTTTAAACATTGGTATTTAAATTGGGTTTTTATTCTATGTTAATCATTTTCATCTAATTTAGGTTTCTAATGTATTTAAAACATTTTCATCTAATGTAGGTTTGTATTCTATTTTAATCATTAGCCACTAAATTAGATTTTTAATTTATTTCAAACATTAGCAGCCAAATAAGGTTTTTATTTAATTTAATTTAGAACTATCTATAAATATTCGAACTTACAAAAATCGCCAATTTAACCCCTGAAGTTAAATTTTTATTTTATCTTCAATGAGATCCAAACAACGAGTTTTTAGATATCAGGGTAAAATCGTAAAATTAGGTTTTTATTTCACCTTTAAGATGAGTCACCCAATAAAAAATTATTGAATGATAGAATGTAGCTAATTAGATTTCATTCAATTGAATCATTAGCCTGTGAAATAAGATTTTACTCCACTGGGTCATACTTCTTTGTATTTGGTATATTTTTTAAAGATCAATGATATTTTAAAAGGAGAGTCAAAATTCCGAACTCCGAATGTTCGCTTTATAGTACATTACAAGCGTATTTCGCGATTAGTGACGTCATCGAACGCTTCGTGAATTTGCAAATTGATGCTATCAGTGTACCGATGTACGTAAAAAAATTGAAAACCTCTTTACAATTCCTTTAAAGGAAATGATACTTTGGCCGAAAATTGGCCTCTGTAAAAACTTTTGAATGGTAACATGAGTGCATGTTTATTATTTTGTTTTTATCTCGAAATCATTCAAAAATTATCAGTGCTATAGTTAATGCATATGAAAATAATTGGTGGAATTCAAATTACTGACGGAATTACCTATGAGATATTGATCTTGTTATCATTTCAGAATAGATAGACGATACAATTTAATACCAAATCTTGATATCTGTAGACGAGATGAAGGTTACAATTTGTCTTTTGTTGTTGTTTGGTTTCTTGGCTGTTATCGAATGTGGTGGTCGAGGAGGTCGTTCCGTTGGTGATCGTGAAGAACAGGCACAAGGTAAGTTTCAATCAGGTGTATGATTAAGATATGTACATGTTTTTGTATGTTATTCGCTGGAATCCACAGCTTTATTGTGTTTCCTTTATAAATGAAAAATCTGATGAGTTCGAAATCGAATAAAATTATAAGAAATGTTTTTTATTCTTGGTTTGTTTAGTGGCTTTAAAGACATATGGTGGTCGAGGAGGACGTACTGTTCGCTCCGTTGGTGATCTCGAAGAATATTTAGGTATGTATCAGAGGAAGACATATTGTTTTATAGTGCTGTCAATTACAAGCATATTTCGCCTCGTGAAATGTTGTAAATTGATTCTACCAATGTTCCGATATACTTTAAGTTTTTGTATGTTATTCGCTGGAATCCATAGCTTTAAAATGTTTAATATAATTCCAAGAAGATTTTATGTATGGTATTTGTTTTATTGGTCGTTTCCATCAATATCAAAAATGAAAAATCTGATGAGTTCGAAATCGAATGAAATTATAACAAATGTAGGTAAACAATTTCTTACTCAACGAAATTAAGAGCAACGCTAACAGGTATATAGTTTTATTCATCAGTGATAACGATCCCTAATGGGTTTATGTAAATATATGTATATTATTTTACTTTATCTCTATTTCTTTGTATCAAATATGTTGAATGTATAATTGTAAGTGTTATTTTGGCAATATCAGTTGATTTGCTAAGCCGTGAATAACAAATATATAAAATATATAGGAATTTTCGTTTTCTGGCTTAAATCAAGGTTTACTTCCTTTCTCTAACGCCGTTAAAGAATTTCCAGGGGCGCAGCGTACAGGATGGTGTGGGAAGGTACTTTCTCCCCAGTTTTACTAAACTTGGTAAAACGCAGAATAGGTTGGTAAAAGGCGGTTATGGATGGAGCCGTCGGTAAAACCGATTTGTTAACCGAAAGCGTGTCTCTTTGGGAAGCAACGTTTTCATCCAAGTCTTGCTAATGCTTACCAATATTAGCGTTAACCATTTCAGTGGCCGTCACAAGACTTGAACGTGTTGATGTGGAAATAATTTTATAGACATTTAAAACATATAACGAATTAAGCTAAAACGATGGGTTTCATGTGTACGCATGCATAGATAACTTTGCAAAAAACTTTGTAAAAACCACATGTTCGTCGGTACAACGTCGATCAAAATGGTCACGCTACGCCCCTCAGAGGTACGAGTGGTATTTGAAAATGAATTATATCTGATTTTAATGAAATTTGGTCTGATCTGATTTAGTATTATTTGACAGATTTGTGACCGCCCATGATATACTGAAAGGAAAGTGGGCGTATCTTGCTATTATTTAATACTATTAATAATGATATTCCTATGTATATACAATATTTGATGAAGCTAACAATTTGTCTTTTATTGTTGTTTGTTGGTTTAGTAGCTGTTAACGCAAATCTTGGTGGCGGAGGACGTGGTGGTCGATCTGTTGGTGAAGAACAGGAACATGGTGGGTTTCTATCAAATCATGCACATTGTTTTAGAGCAGGGATTTTCAACTTTGGGGTAATTCTAAATTTGTTGGTGTGGTAATTGGGCGTTTGTAGTCTAGCATAATTTTCTAAATTATAATTTTATAAGGCAAAGATCCTGAAAAGGGACAAAAAAGAAAAAAAAATGCAAAAAAGAAAATAAAATATAAGATAAAGCTCCTAATTCGTATTTTATTCTTGGTTTGTTTAGTGGCATTAAAGACATATGGTGGTCGAGGAGGTCGTGCTGTTCGCTCCGTTGGTGATCTCGAAGAATATGCACAAGGTGTGTATTAAAAAAATCATGCAGTACTTTTTCATAATTAACAACAAAACTTGATAAACTTATACATAGTCACTAAGACATTCTAAGCATGTTGCAAATTACCTCCTGTAACGAATTGTTACTTAGTTTTATGGATTTATTGGATTATAGAGGCATTCTGTCGTATAGTACAGGCTATGTTTTAACTATGTAAATTGATAAAAAAAAATTAAAGTGGAGGGGGGGGGGGGGGTGGCAAAGTAGGCCAGCCTCTTTTCTCTCCCTTATAATCGAGGTAGTTGAAGGGGCTACACCGTTGGTGATCTAGAAGAATATGCACGGGGTATGTTTCAGTTAAATCATGTAGTTTTTTACAACATTAGTTATAACAGGTGTAAATACCAGGATTACTCCCTCACTTACGAATATAACCTCTTAGAATGGACATAAAATTTAAATTCCCAAACTTAATCACTTTTAATAAAATTTCAGAAACCACAGATTTGTGACGCACTTGATATACTGAAAGGAAAGTGGGCGTATCTTGCTATTATTTAATACTATTAATAATGATATTCCTATGTATATACAATATTTGATGAAGCTAACAATTTGTCTTTTATTGTTGTTTGTTGGTTTAGTAGCTGTTAACGCAAATCTTGGTGGCGGAGGACGTGGTGGTCGATCTGTTGGTGAAGAACTGAAACATGGTGGGTTTCTATCAAATCATGCACATTGTTTTAGAGCAGGGATTTTCAACTTTGGGGTAATTTTAAATTTGTTGGTGTGGTAATGGGGCGTTTTGTAGTCTAGCATATTTTTTTTTTTAACTTTTTTCAAATTATAATTTAGTAAGGCTGTCATGCTGTAATCTCTGACATGAAAAAGTTTATAATTATAACGTCACTATTGCAAATAGTCAATAAACGCTTACTTTTAATAAAATTTCAGAAACCACAGACGTCTGATTGAAAATTGAAATATTGCTAACTGATGATGTCAGGGTTTCCGATACACAAACAACATTTAAGAACCTCTTTACAATCATCTTTTATATAATCAATTTATTGTAGCATGCAAATTTGGAAAACCAATAGTTGGTGAATGTGACGGAGGAGAGTTCACTATTATTTATAGGGGCAACGATTGCCCAGTTGTCAAAGAGGAAACTGGTAAATGTATGGCCAATTCCGCGGGAAACATGGTTCCTGTTACCAGTGTTTTCAAGAGTATGGGTAAGTATTTGTTCTAAATACAGATACTTTCAGAATCAGTAGCTTTAACCATTTTCAAGATCGTATTCTTAAGCCAACAATGATGTTTACTTTAAGGCAGAAAGACATTTATAGTTTGGAGACAATCATCGTTTGGTGTCCAATGCAGGCATCACCTCTAGTCTTCTTTTGAACTACAATTATATACATGTTCCATAATATATTTAGTAAATCGATGCATATGCTCAATATAAATGTAAACATTTTCAAAAATAGATATTTCAAGCGACATAAACACATTTTAAGATCAACTACCATAAGAAACCACAATAAGATGGTTGATATCCGATAGTGTCTCATCTCCATATTGATGTCGAATGTAATCCTTATAAGACATTTAGAACTACCACAGCACATTAAAAAACAACAGTTTTGTGGATATAAACTTCTATTTATTTAAGGAAAACAGTTTTATGGATATAAATAGAATTTTATGTCCATAAAACTGTTGATTCTTAATGTTCTGTGATAATCTAAATGTCTTATACAGATTATATAGCTATCATATGTTAATAATTGGTAAAATCAATTTACAGACGAAAGTCCCTATCATGTTTTTGTGTTCTTCCAGAATGCTTCTACACTCTACCCGATATGTCAGGAATCTGTAACCCCGAAACAAAAACATTGGAACTTTCTCAAACTCTGGTGTCTGACGATGTAGAGGGATGCGAGGAAACAATCGAGTCAACCGTCCGATGTTCAGAAAACGACAATGGAGAACTTGTTCCAAATCTTGCTGAAATGAGACCCAATCTTCCTCAAAGGCGACCAGAAGGTAATGTTCCAAATTCAGAAAAACGCGATGGTCCACAACGTAGAAGAGGAGGACAATTTGGTGGGAGACGTGGTGGAAGTAGAAACGGTGGTGAGAGGCGTATTGGAGGGGGACAAAGGTCAGGAAGACTCGGTGGCAAAGGAAACGCTGGTGGGAAAAGGAGAAATGGTGGCGGGGGAAGAGGGCAAGGTGGCGCAGGAGGTCGAAGAGGTGGTCGAAAAAATAATGAATAAAACATTCTTTTTTCCAATTAAGGTAAAATGGTTTCTTTAGCTGTCAACCAATATTTTTCTGGAAGAACCATCTTTCAAATAGATATTGTATAAAGGGGTCCTTCTGACTTTTCCTTATAAGCGATGCAGCAGTGTGATATTCATCTCCTGGCCCGGATGTCTTGTTAATTCAACACAAATTTGTAGGTTTTCGTTGAAGCTGTGATGCCAATTGAGGCTCTAACATGGCATCAAATACCATGTTTCATCAACTTGTGAGTCAAACCATTGACGATATCTGTTACTTTTAGTAATGCACTGATTAGCTTTTTGTTGCTTTTTTGCAGATACATGACCAAACCGGCCAGAATTTGCACGATGTAATTGAATAAATAAACTGAATTCATACAGTCATTTTTATTTTTTTAAAATGTACACCCATAGCATACATTGCACGGCCATTTCAGACTTCAGATTCAGTTGTGAGTTCAGATGCTTGCTCAAACGTCCTGTTCTGCCTTTAGTCATCTTTATTAAACGCAGGGATATTAAAATTAAAATATTTTAGCTATTTTGACTCTCCGTAAGAATAAAGATTTGCCAAACCCAGACGCATCAGGTGTGGTGTGAACGTAACATTTGGTCCCATCTCGATGCTGTTGCTATATAAATAAGGCGATGGCTTCACTACGGCACTGCGGGGTTTTGCGGGCGTGTGGCCTACCTAAGACTATCGGACACGATGACCTTACGATGGTCACACGCATTTTTTTGACGGAGTCTGAATACTCAACGATTGCATAACAAATGACCCTTAACAAATGACCCTAACAAATGACCCGACATTGATACGATATTCCATTATAGTGTGAATGCCTACATCTGATGCCAATTTCGAGAGCGTGTGACGTAGCCTTAAACAATAGGAAAATAAATGGTCGACATGACTTATTGTATGCCTCAACTCTAATCTACAGTCAAAATTAATGGTCCGAACAAATGACCCCGAGGAAACTTATATTACTACCACAATTTTTTTATTGTCTCACAATAAAACATTAGATTACACACACCTACAGGCAGTGCCTATAAAAGTCGGATCGAGTTTTTTTAGTACTCAACATGTAAGAGTTGGTATTCACTAAAGCACTAAATATATATTGGATAATCTCATGTTCACAGATTCCAGGCATTACGAACTTCAGTGGTGCCAGCTTTTCGAAAATTGGGGGGTGGGGGGGGGGGGGCAGACTGACGTAATAGGTTGCTTAATGGGTTGGGAAAACTGTTGAGGCTGATATTCAAGATACAGCTGTTCTGTAGAGCGCATAGTCCAGGGGTTTTCAACCTTTTTCTTTCTATTACCCTTTTCGTGTTCTTTCATTTTCTAGGGAGGAAATAGTGGTAATTGTTTTTGCAAAATATTTGCAAATGACCAGATTATATACTTGGGCCATAGCCCTTCCCTTAGGCCAGTGAAAGGTCATATTTTGAAGTAAATAAGCACTCTGAATGCTTAAAATTCATCTCAGGCCATATGAACTCCTTTGACTTTTGTGGGGCCTCTGGCAACCACATTCCCTTGGTGTATCGCCTCGGAGAAACACTTTTTGTCCTTCCCCTCAAGAATTTTCTAGATACGCTCTGTTACACAATATTGATAACACAATGACCTCTGGGGCTTGTCGGCTTTCCCCTCCTCCCCAAATCTCAATTGTCTGAGCATTTTTACTTAAGGAAATTATTTTCAGAGTTCCACGTGGATCATTCTTGGCTCCAGCCAAATGATGAAAGAAAATACCACTGCAATAACAAATCCATCGGTTTTTCATACCAGTCAGTTACTCGGACTAGAATAGACGCACGTGCACTTTAGATTATGGTTCTGGTAATTGAATTGGGTGGCGCTCGATTAGATGTTCCAATTTTGCTCTCAATCATACGGTGTGGAAGCGGAATATGTCACATTCAAAATTTTCTCATTTATTCTCTTCTCCGCCATTTTGAATTCTGTCTAAACCTACCATTTTTGGCATACGTGGAACGCGTTCTGAACTCTGTTCCAACTTGTTTGTTTTATTGAACGTCCGATTGCTTTCATGAATCCTGAACGTGCAGAACTCAACAATCGAGCTACCCCAAGATGACTGAACAGTTTTAAGATTTGTCAACTACCATCCTGTGTGCAGAACTTGAAACATCTTGATCAACGTTAGGGTAAGAGATTTAGTTACGCTATCCACTTTGATTTCTCACAATTCAAAATATTTCATCCATTATTTTTGAATAGTCAACATGCAGAGGCTAATTGGTCACTGTGTTTTCTCGATTGTGCCATTATCGTTAATGTTTTATAACACATACCAACAAAAACATCGCTTAATTAGAATAATACTAAACATCAAAATCATCAAAATTCTCCCATCATCATAGTATGGTCACCCCCATCGTCACATGTATCCATATCATCGAAACCCTCTCATCATGAACATCACCCTATCATAAAAATCACTCCCATAATCAAAATCATCCCCATAATCAAAAGCATCCCTATCATCAAAATCATCTCCATCATCAAAAGCATAACCTTCGTCAAAATCATCCCCATCAATTGCATGGTTATTACCATTACACTATCATCATTACCACACTATTATCACGTTCACTTTTATAAATTGCAATGATAGTACATTGAATGTATTATAATAAATATAGTACCAATTAATATTAATATATTGTAGATAAAGAGAAATGATGGAGTTGTTTTCTATTGTCCTCGTCATTTTCTGTATATCACTGGTAAGATAGGGCTTACCTAACCCTAGACTTTGAGTTTTCTAGATGTAGCTTTTTCTCCAACACTGACCCATAAAACTGGCAAAACATTTAGACAGTTGCGGTCGAGGGGTCCATAGTCCAAAAAAGCCTTGATCTGAAAAGGATATTGAATAGGGTTAGAGAAGGAGAGAACCAGTGGGCATCGGGCTTGGAGACCTAATAAACACGTTGATCCGACGGAAGAGAGCTGCTAAGGACTTCATTCACTTAAAAACTTACAATCTAATGCAAAAGATTTCGCAGTCTGGGCTCCCATCGTTCTGTTTCACAAGGAAATTCATGTTATCAATAATTTTTACTTCAAATTTGTAAGGACAGTTCCGTTTTAACACGAAATTTCCAAACCTGCGATTTAATCAGATTGGATTTAAAGGGATTTACTGTAGGAGCAAATTATACTTCCGGTATGCTTTGATTTCTAGGTTTCACTTAACGGTGAAGTTCTTGATGATTTCATATTTGATGGTAAGTTTGTTTTACATGTATAACTTGAAGCAACGAGATCAATCGGACTTTTTGTTAACATAACCAAGTGTGCAACGATTTTCTATGTATTTTGTAATATGACTCCAAGCAAAGTAAAAACTGAACGTTAAGTCGAACACTTTTCAAATCCATTAAGACTGTTTGATGACGACACTAATCGAGGAGAGCCTTTACTGTGAAAGCATATTTTGCGATTGGTTACGTCATCACATATTTAAAGAACAAATCTTATAATCATTTTTCAATTTTTTTTTTGGTGATAAATCTGTTTTTTGTTATTTTCAAAGCTGGTGCATACTCCTCCCTAAGTTTGTCCTTAAACATGTTTCAGAACTAAGCTTTCTTATTCATTTTTAGTTGAACCACAGTGTGGTGATTCTCTAGTTGATAATAATCCTGTTGTAACAGTCAAGTCCGACTTTCCAATCAGTGTTGTGGCGTCTTGTGCCAATGGCGACGTAGGCTTCCTGTCTGTGAATGGCGCTGAGCATTTACTTCAAGGGACTTTCTTACAGAAGGGAGATTTTTGTCTCTTTACTGTAAGTTTTCAAATGCTGATTTACTAAAGGTTTTAGATTAAAAGCAGAACTATGTCCGGTGGGGCGTACGATGCGCAATTATCGATATAGTAGAAAATAGAAAAAGCGAATATACAAGGTACAGGTCCGTGCATGATTGGTCTCTTTTCTAACATATATCGCCAAACCACACCGTACATAGCATCGGACATCGTGTCTGGCCTTAAACGCTTAAGCAGTGTTTTTGTGATGTTTCAGAGACGTGGCAGCACTAACGTATATACAATAGAAATATCCATCAGATATGGTGTAGGCGGTAGTGAGGAACATATAACTCAAAAATCGATGATGTGTATTGTAACTTGCACATTTGATTTAAACGGAATGAAGGATTCTCAGGAACATTCTTTAACAAAAGGGTAGGTTGGTCTTATGGATATCGAGTGACTGAGAATGCAAGCAAGAACTTTCCGTTTTCATAACCTCAAAGCTACAGAAACTAACACCAAAATGTCTATATTGTTCATTGTACACATTTAATACAATCAATTTGCTCATCTTGTCTACTACTAAATAGGTTGACAATTGTGGGTAATCCCATTGTCTTGGAAAAATTGTCCTCATTGCACACGGCATGGTGTTACCCTGTCTCTGGAATAAACAGGTGGTGTTAACCTCATTTCGTTTCATATAAATCTAGCAGTGTTCAAAACCGTGCATAGTTAACAGTGGCGGCTCCGTCCTCCTAAGACTGGGGGTTCAAATAGTGGGCAGACTGTCAAGATTCAAAATACGGCGCTCTGATGCAAGGCTCCAAGGAATTATAAGAGGTTTCCTGAAAAAATATGGCATAAATGTATAAAAGTGATAGTTTAAAAAATGTAACGTAAAGTTGCAATTCAGTATTTTAGCACCAGTCGAATTAAGGGTAGATGCTGGACAGAATATAAAAGCCACTTTAACTTTAGATGTTTATGATGTTGGGGATAATTTGATAACTACGATGAGACGAGGGAGAAAGGTTTATCTTTCGGCTACTACTGACGGTTCAAGTAAGTAAAAAAACGACGATTCCACTTTTTATTTTCAATTAAAAACTTTAATTTCCGCCTAGTTGATAAATATTTTCACTTAGGTGGAAATTTGGTGATAATTCCTGTAATTTGAAATAAACATTAATTTTTGCATATGATATGCACGCTGCATATAGTCAGCAGATCAACATGACCTTATCAATATGTATCGAGCCTCTATCATCCAGTCCCTCTTTGTCTACGTACAGCTTCGACGAAAGATAACCCGGACAGGTTGCTAAAATTAAAATCTTTGCAATTGAAAACGTCTACAGTGGCTATTGAATCTGATTTCTTGTAAATCGACATCCATTTTGGTGATGATTGATTAAAATAATTCAGTTATGTCTTCGAATTTTGTTGCTCGAAAAATTGATCAAATCGAATATGCTTAATTGTAGTTATCTTCCTTAATGGAAGTTGAAAAACTCGAAACAGAAAATTCAAGAAAAGTCACAGACTATATCCTTGTCGCAAATGAAACTGCGTTTGGTTCTTACATATTATTTCTATGTAAGAACCTTACGTCGTTTCGTACGTCCTTGTCGTAGACGACTTCTTCGAAAAGTATGTCCATCGCTTTGCAAAATGAGTCTTATAATAAGTAACTATTCATTGTTATTTCCAGAATCGGAACTTGGTCTTCAACCGGTTTCTTGTTTCGCTGAAGGTGTGAATTCGAAAAAACGGTTTCAGTTTCTTCGAGCAGGGTAAGTTTTGATATTTTTTATTTTAATCCAATCGTTAATCATTTCCGCCAACAATTTTCTGATGTGTTCTATGAAATCGCAAGTTAACACCTGAGTTGCCGATAACGTATTGAAGAACACTTCTATCATTCGGCATTTCCCATAAAGCTAAATCTGTAAAGCTCGTAATGAATGGTGAATTTCGTTGCCTCTTATAGAGCGAGACTTTTTACCGCCGGTATTTAGCATTGATTTGTCAAGTGCATGAGAGTAATATTGCGACTTAAATATAGTCTGTAAATTGAGAGACTTTTGGAGAAAAGCCGGACACTTACGCATATACTGCTTTATTGTGACTTTGTTATCCAGTGATACATTTTATTTTCGGTTTGAATAAACATCTAACGAAAGATTTGTTTTTATAGGCTTTGTTTACAAACACTTGTAGTCCTGAACGACCAGCTTTTAATATTTTTAAATTACCAGTATCACGTGATCACGTGACAATACCATGATGTGTTGCAGAGCGTTAGGGTAACTTTCACAGTAGTTCGTTTCGGTACAATATATATCGGTTTCAATCGAGTGGTTCTTTAATAGGCCAATAAGAAAAAGGTATCCACCAAGGTTCTCGGATGGAAAACGTGGTACTAAAATGGAGTTGTCGAAAATATCTTGCCAATATCTTAGGTAATCCATTGGTGGTTGGTTTGTGTAGTTTTTCATTTTTTTCGGAGGACTGTTTAATTTTTGCAATCAAAAACACAATCGCAAGCATAACCTCAACTTTTCGGGCATTTTTTTATTATCAAATTGTATATTAACCAAACAAATACACAAAGCAGACATAAGCAATGAAAATGAAATGAAAAGATAACTCAAAGGTGAAGGTCAATAACTGAGACCACAGGGACGTTATGTGAAATAGACACAGGTACTTTACAAGACCACAATAACATATAATGACGTTGGATCTGCGCGACTAAATATTATATAATGGTGCATCATAAAATTTTTGTGATCAGTTGTCTCCCTTGATTGTTAATGATTATCAGATGAAAATGTCATCAATTACCCCCCTTGATATTTTAAAGTAGTAAATAAAGCCCCTGTTTTGTCTTTGTCCGTCTGTATCATTATGTGTGTGTTGTGTATGTTTAGCAGCAATGGCGAATGACCCGTCAGGTAGAGTACGCTTACTCTTCTAGACACCTGATAACACATTTCATTATGAAATACTTACTCATGATTGATATGAAAGAATTATTAGCTGCTAGGCCTATTTGGTATTGTTTTGGATTGCGGGCTTTGCGGTTAAGATAAATGAATTATTCGTATTTCAGATGTGGCGCCGGTATGATTTTTGATCAAACTGAAGGATTTGATACTACTGGTTTATCTACAAGAAGTCCTTACTTTAGATCATTTCAAATCAATGACGAGCAGTATCTCACTTTTGAATGTGTCTTTACTTTGTGCGCAAGTGCTTGCGATGGCGTAAGTAATCTTTTACGTAGTAAAATCATGATGTCAGTTATAATTCGCCTTCTATATTACGTTGACGGATTGCAGTCACACCATTTCGGTTGCCCGCCGTCTATCCACAATTGTGAAAAAGACTATAGTTTTCATCGCATATTGATGAAACTTGGTATGCTTACGTATGTTTATGAGATATGGGATGAGTACGATTAAAACGAATTTTCCATGAATAGGTTTTGATTTAATGCCTTGATTTCGCGAAAAAAAGCTTGTGAATGCTGCCTTGACTTACATTTAATGTGGAACGATTTGTTCAGTAATATATAATACACGACATAGCATTTTCTTTAGAAGCATGGACAACTGAATGCTGATAGATAAAACGTTTTAATGGAAAATTTAAGAAGCATAGTTCTATACCAACTGCAATGACTCGATCGCCAATGATTCTTGATTGCGTGATTCAATACAATGGGGAAAATTACAAAATAGAATACAAACTTGAAAACGTATAGTATTGATCGAATTTATCCGACTGTTTCTTCTCTTTCAGAATTCATGTGGAAAGGGGAGATCTAAACGAAGTTCAGGTCAGTAACTTGTTTACTCTTTTTCAACTCATTAACAGGGTAGCATAGAGCAAAACAGTATCCTCTGATTGCCTAACTAATCTGGTTACGGCCCTTGTCTGAGATCCATTCGAAACTGCAAATTGGAAATAAAGAACACGTGTTATCCCTAGAGCAGCGTATGTACCAGACCATTAACCTTAAAAGAGCAGAAACGTTGAACATAAAAATACGTTTCACACTTTACTTCAAAGGGACAGTTGTGACATTCTGGGGGGTTGATCTTAGACTTGGATATATAGAAATAGTCTTCAGAAGTACTAGACATGTACGGAAATCGCATGATTCCTTTAAAAATACTTCAAATTAGGAATTTTACGTACTATTTCCGTAAATGTCTTTTCTATTAATCAGAGTATCTAAAAATCTTCAAACGCGCATATTTCCAGACAACCATGGCTCAAATTTCGACGGTGAGCTGTGGACAATATTACTGATTGGCTTGGTTAAAAAATTCCTGTTCCTGAGACTAAAGCATGACTGGCAAGAAAACAATGAAGCATCTGTCCCTTTAATGATATGGATATCTCAATTTTAGATAGTTTCCTATTTTCCCTATTTTACATTTGCCTCATTGCATAGTCTACATGGCGTTACTTATTATTAGCCGAAATAGGACGTCAAGCTTATTTTTATTCTATTTGTAGGTTTATTTCCATTAATAGCAAAATCCAGACCCATTGCTTATGAAAACGTAATAAAAACATTGAATTAAACAATTTCATTTTTACATTTATTTCTAATAAATGCAGTTTATTGACCCTTCTGAAAAGCACCACTCTAAAATGAATATCCGGTCAGAAAAAAGGCTTTCTAGCCATTTTATGTGTATCCGGGACACCTTTACATTCTATTTGGGACATTCCAATTCTTCATCCGATGCCTGTGGTTCCATTTGTTCGAAAAGAGCTACTACTCTTCAGTAAGGTTTACTTATTCACAGTATCTTGAATTCGACACAAAAGTCCGCTAAACGGAATACTTAATCTGAATATTTACTAAGAAAACTTGGTGTAGGGGCCAAGCTAGGGTAGGGGCCAATCTAGGGTAGAGAGCCAAGCTAGGGTAGGGGCCAATCTAGGGTAGGGAGCCAAACTAGGGTAGTGGTCAAAATGTTTGGAAGAGAGTCTTTGTTTAGCCATTGAGAGCCCATTAATTCGGACTACAGAAAGGCTCCTGCTCATTTGTAGACAAATGCCATATTTGAAACATACATATAAGTATTGGTATATGAGATATTGAACCCTCTCTAGTGTACAGTTTGATATTTGTTTAATTTGTATAATTGCAGTTGGTATGATCGTTATTTCTAATATTTCCCTTATTAGTACAGAATTATCATTATGATACCAATAATAATTGTCCTATTGTCTCTTATACTGTAGTATCTAAATATGATTTTGTTCTGGACGTCATACTCTTACTCAGCGATATTTCTCGTTTTTCCTTCGATATTCTTACATATCTTTATATACTTTGACATTCAGACAGCATTGTAAGGTATTTTTTTTTTTTGAAAAATTATCACTTTTACAGTTTAACATGTCGTATTATAAAAGTGATATTTGTGTATGGAATACTATTAGTTGTTTTGGTTGTTCATATAGTTTATTGTCTGTAATAATTTTTGTAGAATATTCTTTGTATACTGTTTTTATTTTAGCAACGCAAAGAAATTCTAAGCTTGACAGTACTATTTTGAGGCTATTTCAGTTTTCAGAAAAATTATGAAAAAAATTTGTGGTTCTAGCAAATTCACTAAAACTAAGCGTTTGAGGACGCCACTAATCGAAAAATAAGCTTTATTACATAAGGCCTTCACGATTAGTGACGTCACAAAACTCGCAATTTTAGTGGTATTGCAGTAACCGCAGACGACTGATTGAAAATTTGAATGGTGCATATTGACGCAATTAGTGTCCCGATACACGTTAAAAATTCAGAAACCTCTTAACAATGTCTTTACGTAATCGGAACACATTATATACAATATACATTTAGAATTACTAGATTACGATCAAAACTCAAGTACAAAATTCTTGTCGTGAAATTAGGATTAGAACCTGAAATACAAAAGAAATGATGTTAAATTACGATTAATATTCTAAATACGAAACACGTATTGTTAAAATACCACTTATACTTTACATACAAAAGACGTATTGTTAGATTGGGATCAAAACTTGAAATACAAAGATGTGTTATTAGATTAGGAACAATGCAAACAAGTGGTTGCCTAGCAAGATACGCCCACTTTCCTTCTACATTTTTAGTATATTATACATTATAATGTGGGCGTATAAAAACTTGTAGGACAAGGATCAAACCATGAAATACAAAAGACGTGTTGTTGTATACAACCAAAACATGAAATACAAAAGACGTGTTATTAGTTTAGGACCAACACAAAAGTCAGCTATATACAGCTATCCATATTCTGTATCACTTTCGGAATCAAAAACCAATGTTTAGTTGCACTTGCAATCAAAGCACTAGATGGACTCACTCCACTAAAACATTTTAAGGAATGTAATCCAGGCTATTTCATTGTCTTTAAGATTTGGTGAGATGATGAGAGACCTAAAGGCGGAAGGCTAAAAATAGTCGTTTGGTGAACTGCCAAACTCAAGCGGATGAGTATAACCGGTAGTAGTCTACTTTCAATTTTAGTAGCTCAAAATTTTCATAGTCATCATATATTGAATTTTTTACGAGACATTGAGAATTGGTCAAGCTTTCAACGAGATTTCTGGAAAAAAGTTGTAGAAGGTTGGATTTCGTGTTTTAACATGGGAAGAGATGGCAAATGAATTAGTGGAGTCCAGATAGTCAAAACTTCGACGACCGTCTCCCTTTAATTGCGTTATAATTAGTAATTATTGTTGGTGTCTGTTTTTTTGGCAATCTCAACAACTAAATTGAACCACTTGAATACCTCCTCTTTACTTTAATATATATCATGAACACTGTACATTACCAACACCTTCTTGTCCATAGCTCGTGAATAGTCTACAACTTACAGTGGTTTATCATTTTATCATTATAGTTTAGATATTATTTTTAGAAACACACATGTGTATAGTTGTATTTGTGTTAAATAGAATGGTTATAGTTATGATATAACAATACTGGAATAACTTAAATCAAGGTCAGTATAACACCGATATAACCTTATCAATTTACACAACGGAAGATAATAATAATGAAAAATATTTAACATATTAACACGAATATTGCTACAGGAAGTCATAATTAGAACTGAAATGAAATAAGTTGAGTTTTACGTCCTACTTTTCTACACCTGATTGTGAAGGAGGCAAGTCATAATGAGAGTACGATGCGTACAAGGTCTAAAAGGCTTCGCTAGGCCTTCTGATTGTATAAAACTTCGGACACCATGGAGACGCCGCCTATGCAATATCAAATACAGTGGTGGGCCTCTTAAGCACCAAGTTACACAGGGTCTCTGACTGTATCTCTGGCTATATTCGCTACATATACAAACTTCCGTGACACGAGAAGAGTGTCTAATGATGTCAAGGCATTATATTCAGTTCGTAAAAGTTTTACATAGTGTAGATGAAACCTATTTGACAACAGGTAAATATTTTAGAAAAAGAATTTAAGAGTCGCTGAGTCAGTCAGACATATTCCATTCGTTATCAGAATAGACAAAGATGTTACTGTAATAAGTTAACCGACTTAGCATCTTGTATATATAAAGAATACCGCCTACTTATAAACACACTTGTAATTTTTTATCAGTGTTAAATAGCTGACTGAATCAGAATGCCAGATTCCTGGCAAACTAACCTATTGTTTACTTCCATAAATCAAAGAAATTGCATCGTCACGTTCTATCGCTATGAATCGCACTTCCCCTAACATCATCTGAGAATGCACGATTCAGTTTCAACATCCATCCCTTGAGTCAGCCGACCATTATATTTGTCACTTAAAGGGAGTGTAAAGCGGTTTCTTACTATTTTATGTATCAGGAATACCGATTTGCACCACTCAAATTTTCAATCAAACGTTGTGTTTCCCGCATGTCCGCTTAAACTGTTTGAAGGCGTCACTAATCGCGAAATATTTTTGCTGTATTTGTTACCTCTCTGTGAAATATAAGAAATACGAGATGGTACATAGCATTCGTTACACAGGCATCTGTTTCTATTAATAGTCGACTCTCTCTATAATAGTATATCTATCAATAGTCGACTCTCTCTATAATAGTATATCTATCAATAGTCGACTCTCCCTATAATAGTATATCTATCAATAGTCGACTCTCTCTATAATAGTATATCTATCAATAGTCGACTCTCTCTATAATAGTGTATATATAAGAAGGTTGCTAACGCTCGTCACGACCATCTCCGCTTCAGACGATTTTCTACCATTTACCGTAATGCAACGTTATCCCAACCTTATATGAATCGTTTCATTGAATAGTTTCCCTTCACACAAGACCTATTTTATATCTCCCTCAGTGTTCCCCTTCATACTAATCTAACTATTGTTCAATAAAAATACTAAAAAAATTTACACCCATCGTTTCAAAGTTATCTATTTTGTAAAGAAAATGATGCTGTAAAATTACTGTGTTGCTATTTTCATAACTTATATATTTGTAAAGGATGGAAATCACCAATATAACTACTTTTTTCTTAGTAACTAAAAAAATAGTCAATAACCATGCTTTTACTTTCACTTTGGTTTTTACTCGACAGGTAATTATAGCTGACCAATCGTATTGACCGAAATATATTTACTGCCAAATCAACCGGAAGTAGATACATTGAAACGATGGGTGTAAATTTTTTTAGTATTTTTATTGAACAATAGTTAGATTAGTATGAAGGGGAAGACTGATGGAGATATAAAATAGGTCTTGTGTGAAGGGAAAATATTCAATGAAACGATTCATATAAGGTTGGTATAATGTTTCATTACGATAAATGGTAGAAAATCGTCTGAAACCGAGGTGGTCGTGACGAGCGTTAGCCACCTTCTCATATATATACTATTATAGAGAGAGTCGACTATTGATAGATATACTATTATAGAGAGAGTCGACTATTGATAGAAACAGATGCCTGTGATTCGTTACTTCAAATTTTGCTCGAAAGTCGTGTTTTCTATTAGAGAACTCGGGTTGCTAAAATTATTTCAGTTCACGGCATACGACGTCATATTGGGCAACCAATCAGAATTATAAAATGGAAACACGTGATATAATTATGCATATAAAGTATATGTCTCTCTAGAGCGCATGCGATTGTACTAATTTTTTTAATGTTTCCGAATAGAATCAAGTGGTAATTACAACTTCCTAGTAGGAAACTTCCCACTTGCCAGAGGTAACAAATACAGCATTTATCACAATATATTATATAAGGCCCTTCGCGATTAATGACGTCATCAAACATTTAGTTGTAAACATTATTTGAATAGTATTTTCATCAGTTTCCTCCCTTGAACTGCATAATTTGAGAAGTCTTGTCACTATATTTGTGCTTTTTACCTTCATATTAATATTGCATATAGAGCAGAAATGGCTGATGTGTCTCTGTAAAGGTCGGCAGTTTTAATAGCCATATCATACACCTTATTATCTCTGTTACTCATTATTATTAATTAATCACGTGTGTGATTCATGTCGAAAAAACTTATTAATCTTAAAGGGATAACGTCAATAACGTTGATTTAGCTCAAATACAGTTATCCAAAGCATGTTTCCGAAATTTCAAAATTTAGGTCTCTTACAATCCAACACAATGATCTGCTAAATTATGATTTGGGGTGGGTTGAAGCATCTTGCGAGCGGATGGAAACGAAGAGTAAAATAAACATAAACTTTAATAAATTAGATAATTATATGGATATATACTTCTGGAATAAGGATTATAAACTTAATGATGAGCCATTAGTAAGATAAGCACAGACGATTGGACAATATAAAGTAAATAATCTGATGCTCGGCATCGGTGATGCACCACAATATCGTCAAGAGGCTTATTAGGTCAATATTGTTACGTGATCCAAACTGATATAGACCCTTTTGCAGTTTTTACAAATAGTATAAAATGTCAAAACAGTGATTCAACTACCATATGGAATGGTTGAACCAGGTCCACGGGCCAACACCCTTTAGGGTGGTCTCACCCAGGGAGAAAAAACATAAGAAATTTTGAGGGAAGGGGCTCCAACCCACATAAGTACATGGGCATTTATTTGAACCACAGATATCATGGTTAAAGGTGTATTCCGCTTTTGAAACCTTTAGAATACGTTACAGAGATATTTCGCTAAAATTAGGCGTTTATTTTATTTAAATCCGTACAGCCCTCACAAAACATAACGAACTTAAATGTGAGCAAAAAAAAAATTCTACCTAAAACAAAGCAGAATGTCCCTCAAATAACTGTAAGCATAAATGTCAGTATCCCCTTGAGACGCTATTTTTAGCCGTGTGAGAACAGGGCATTTTATTCGCAAACCACTATATGTATATCTAAAATTTATTACTCTATGAGCTGGTCAAGCAAAGATTTAGATTATCGTGAATGAAGGTCTGCTGGTTAACATAATACTTTAAATTGCTTATTTTGTATTTTTTAGATCCTGATTTCCATCATGATGTTAAGACTGGTGATAGTGATGATGGTTGTTGTACCACAAATTACTCATACAGCCGATCCTATAGTTAACACAAAATTGGGAAATATAAAAGGAAGCCAAAGAAAGGTAACATTTGATGGCAAAGACACACTTATAACGCAGTTTCTTGGAATACCATTTGCAGAGCCGCCAGTGGGTGAACTGAGATTTCAAAAACCGGTGCCACATGCAAAGTTCACTAGCACGTATGACGCCACGGAATATGGTTTACCGTGTTCTCAAAAAATTTTCAGGAGTAAATTATCCCTTATGAAGAATGTAAATAAAACTGGAGAAGATTGCTTACATCTTAATATTTTTGTTCCTAAAATTGTTGGCAACGAGAAATATCCTGTCATGCTTTTTATTTATGGTGGTTCTTTTATCCACGGTGCATCTTTAGCGTATGATGGTGGAATCCTGGCATCCTACGGGGATGTTATAGTTGTAACCATCAACTATAGATTAGGGCCTTTTGGATTTTTGTCCACTGGAGATGAAGAGCTACCAGGTAATGCAGGTCTTTGGGATCAACATCTAGCTATTAAATGGGTAAAAGACAATATTGCTTCTTTTGGTGGCGATGACTCTAGGATAACAGTGTTTGGTGAATCTGCTGGCGGTTCCAGTGTTTCATTCCAAACTCTATATCCGGGAAACAAGGGACTTTTTCAAAATGCAATAGCCGAGAGTGGTGCAGCAAGTGCTTTTTGGGCAACTGTTCCAGCTTCAGATGCATTCGACAATGCTAAAAAATTCGCAGAAAAATTTGATTGTGATACTTCTAACTCTCAAACGATTGTAAGATGTTTACAAGGTGTCAAAAATGACACCAAAATAGCTGAGGTAGCAATACACTCTTTAGGTATAAGATGGACTCCTGTTTTGGATGATAAATTTATCAGTTCCAAAACAGTAGCATCATTAAAAACAAATAATGCCCAAAACGTGTTTCAAGACTACAATATGATCATTGGATCGAACGGGTTTGATGGTCACTTTTTTATGGTCAATACTTATGTTTTTAACACAGAACACATTAAACGATCACCAACGTCTATGTTCCCGGAAATATTTAGATCGTTTCTTAAAACTCAGATAAAACCATATGCTGCAGATGCAAAATCTCTCAATGACGCAGTGGATGGAGCTTTTTTCGCCTATACAAACGCAGAAAATCCCAATGACATGACCTACAATCTTAAAAAGGCTTGTGATTTTATTACTGACAGTTTATTCTTTATACCAGCACTACAAGACACGATGAATCATGCTTTAAACAACACTAAAACCAGAACCTATCAATATGAATTTAATCATCAATACCCTTGGAAACCACCTGGAAGCGAATGGCTCCAAGGAGCTACCCACGCTGGAGAATTACCTTACATCTTTGGATTTCCTTCATCGCTTTCAGTTGTAACACCTCAAATTGCAGCAGTTGGTCAACCATTTTCAAAAGTCGTCATGGATTATTGGACCAATTTTGCTAAAACGGGGTACGTAAATAGTATTTTGTTTTAATAACATTAAAATATTTCAAAAATTATATCAAGAAAAGAATCACAATCTGATTCCATGCTGGAGGAAACTATAACAGTCGTTTTGACCGATCTTATATTTTATAAGAGGATTTTTCAGTTACAGATCTAAACTCTTGCCGTCTGAACTTCTAATGCAAGTTTACATGTTGTCATAATTGGACGTCTCTGTTGAAAAGTTCTATGGTCCGCATCACGAGATTATTGACAAATGTGAAAAATTTGTGTCCTTAATGATTTCAAATTTACTCAGCAACACAGCAACATTAGATATTTAGTTAAAATGGTCTCAGAATTTTGATGGGTCCAAATAAAATTGTTCTTGTCGACTGCATCCAATCTGTGCTATTGTCACTTGACTTTGATTTTAGGTAGAATGTGTGAATTTGTCTTTTTCAGAGATCCTAACAAACCGAGACCAGTACCAGGTATATGGAAGGAATTCACCAATAAAAATCGTGATTATCTTTACTTTCCTCAAACTGAATCTCCTGAACATAAACATCACCTCAATGGACGTAGAGCGGAGTTTTTCTTGACGTATCTCCCTAAACTCTTACAATCTGACAAGACAACTACCGATTGCTCATCATCAGCTATTGGCCTTACAATAGGAATCATAAATATCAGTATTATTTTAATCTCGGTTTTGCTTAGATTTATTGAATGAACAACATGTTTCTTTAACTTTGATGTCATATAAATGAATCGATGGTAATTTATTCTGATCTTCTGGTTTTGTTGATTTCAGCGATATAGGATGCAACATTCATGGCAAATTATCGGAAAATCTAGAAAGCTCATTTTCAAAACGTACTTTTAACAGCTTGGTTATTACAGCTTCTGGATTTTAACCTTTTGTTAATACTGTAAACACATAACCTTATCTTGTGTCCAGATAGTTTTGTTTGATTTGGATCAATCGCGTGGGCAGGATGGTTTGTATACGTCAAATAGTCGGATATAAAAGAGATAACGAGATAAAAAAAAATTCAGGCTTGTTGTCCTTTATGAAATATAACATTTTATTTTGAAACATCAATATATTTTACTCAAATGCAATACAAAGTTAACTGTCTGTGCCTTGACTGATGCCAACAGGTAGTCTCTACATTTAAAAATGCCAACAAGTTGCGCATTAAAAGATGGCAGCAGTCGGGTGAAATTGGTATTGACAGATGCCAACAGTCGGTTGGTCTTTGCCTTTACTGATGCCACCTGTCGAGTTTTATCTGCATTTGGTCCGTGCATTGAAAGATGCGAACAGATGGTCTGTGCGAATGCTCTCTGCCAACAATCGGGTGATTTGTGCATTGAATGATTCTAACAGCCTGATAGTCTCCGCATTCATAGATGCCAACGGTCGACTAGTCTCTGCATTGTCAGTCGAAAACTTCGTCTGTGGATGTAGTAATTTATTTCGTTGAATCTGACTCGACAGCATCAATACTAATTTTGTTGAAATCTTGAAACATGGGGAAAAATCCCCGCTCTCCTCACCCTAAGATGCCCATACTGTGATCCCGTGACAAACATATCACTAATATTGATAACAAATAGTTAGGTTGTCATCATACAACGAAGATAAGACGCCGTCATAAATTTTAAGCTTTGATATATCACTCAGGAGAAACAACCAAGGCAGGTAGGTTCAGTATTATGATTTCCTCTGTATATTGAACGATTTATTTTCATCTATTTGATTTCAGCAAATTTCTTTTAGTAAAAGGAATCATGATGCTAACCCGTTATACCGTCCATAAGGCCAAAGTTCTGTATTGTAACTTATATACCTACGAATGCTTTAAGATAAGTAAGAACAGCCCTGTTTCTTAGTGATGTTCTACCTATATCTGCATCGCTTCAAATTTGTTGCTTGGAATATCTGTAGTTAACTTGTGACAAAATGTTGATAAAAACCACTTTTAAAACGGAGTGCCCTGAGTTCAAAACTCAAGGACTCTTACATTACTGAAAAGCGGGCAAAACGTTCTTATATAAAGGGTAGAAAATATTAGTTATCTGGATTCAATTTTTAAGGTTCCGATAACCATCATGATGTTAAGACTGGTGATAGTGATGATGGTGGTTGTACCACAAATTACTTATACAGCCGATCCTATAGTTAACACAAAATTGGGAAATATAAAAGGAAGCCAAAGAACAGTAACATTTGATGGCAAAGTCACAGTTATAACGCAGTTTCTTGGAATACCATTTGCAGAGCCGCCAGTGGGTGAGCTGAGATTTCAAAAACCGGTGCCACATGCAAAGTTTACTAGCACGTATGACGCCACGGAATATGGTTTACCGTGTTCTCAGGGAACTTTAAGTAGTGATAAATTAACCCTCACGAAGAATTTAAATAAAACTGGAGAAGATTGCTTGCATCTTAATATTTTTGTTCCTAAAATTGTTGGCAACGAGAAAAATCCTGTCATGCTTTTTATTTATGGTGGTTCTTTTATCCACGGTGCATCTTTAGCGTATGATGGTGGAATCCTGGCTTCGTACGGGGATGTTATAGTTGTAACCATCAACTATAGATTAGGACCTTTTGGATTTTTGTCCACTGGAGATAAAGAGCTACCAGGTAATGCAGGTCTTTGGGATCAACATCTAGCTATCAAATGGGTAAAAGACAATATTGCTTCTTTTGGTGGCGATGACTCAAGAATAACAGTGTTTGGTGAATCTGCTGGAGGTTCCAGTGTTTCATTCCAAACTCTGTATCCGGGAAACAAGGGACTTTTTCATAACGCCATAGCCGAGAGTGGTGCAGCAAGTGCTTTTTGGGCAACTGTTCCAGCTTCAGATGCATTTGACAATGCTAAAAAATTCGCAGAAAAATTTGATTGTGATACTTCTAACTCTCAAACGATTGTAAAATGTTTACAAGGTGTCAAAAATGACACCAAAATAGCTGAAGTATCAATACAGTCTTTAGATGTAAAATGGACCCCTGTCCTGGATGACAAATTTATCAGTTCCAAAACAGTAGCATCATTAAAAACAAATAATGCCCAAAACATGTTTCAAGACTACAATATGATTATTGGATCGAACGGCTTTGATGGTCATTTGTTTATGATCACACTTTATGCCCTTGTCACAGAACACATTAAACGATCACCAACGTCTATGTTCCCGGAAATATTTAGATCGTTTCTTAAAACTCAGATAAAACCATATGCTGCAGATGCAAAATCTCTCAATGACGCAGTGGATGGAGCTTTTTTCGCCTATACAAACGCAGAAAATCCCAATGACATGAACTACAATCTTAAAAAGGCTTGTGATTTTATTACTGACAGTTTATTCTTTATACCAGCACTACAAGACACGATGAATCATGCTTTAAACAACACTAAAACCAGAACCTATCAATATGAATTTAATCATCAATACCCTTGGAAACCACCTGGAAGCGAATGGCTCCAAGGAGCTACCCACGCTGGAGAAATACCGTACGTCTTTGGATTTCCTTCATCAATATCAATTGTAACACCTCAAATTGCCAAAGTTGGTCAACCATTTTCAAAAGTCGTCATGGATTATTGGACTAACTTTGCTAAAAAAGGGTAAGCATATTGTGTGTTTTTACTTGCTATTATTCTGCTCCTGGTTGTGCGATATGAAGACGGTCAACGTTATTCTGTGGGTAATGAGGCGCAATTTGGCAGTACGATGGCATAAACTTAAGATTTTTCGCGAAGGCACACAGTCCATAGAAAAGGTGATCCTTATTTATTGCCTCATAAGATGTTTTTTCATGCGACTTACAACATTAACTGCAGAAAATACTATGCATTATGAGATTGAATCTTGGAACTTTAGTTTAGCAAACGTTTAACTCCCATAATATAATAGCATACTAGTAAATGACACTAACAATGTTTCATTTCAGAGATCCTAACAATCCAAGAACAGTACCAGGTATATGGAAGGAATTCACCAATAAAAATCGTGATTATCTTTACTTTCCTCAAACTGGATCTCCTGAACATAAACATCACCTCAATGGACGTAGAGCAGATTTTTTCTTGACGTATCTCCCCAAACTGTTACAATCTGACAACTTGACAGTTCTAACTACTGACTGTTCGTCTTCTGCTAATGTTCTGTCTACAAGAGTCATACATATTTGGATTATTTTTATCTTGTTTTTTCTTACATTTATGAAATAAATCATCTTTCATTTCAAATTACTTAATGATTTCTAATATGATGTCAAGATAATTGATATTGATGATGATGATGGATGATGATGATGATGATGATGATGATATGGTGATGATTATTATGATGATGATGATAATATGATGATGGTGGTGGGTGTACCAAATCTAATTAACAATCGATCACAATTTCGTGTCGTTATTATTGTTTTCGGGTTGCGTACTGTTGACGTTCATTTCAACCAATCACAGCGCGTCATGTAGTATCCGTATCCTCATAACGAGGATAAAGATTAGGGCAATCTCAGATATATCGCGCCCTCGCCCCCTCTCGGACGTAAACCTGGCTCCGCCTCTGACTATGAATTGTGGGATGGCGAAATCCAAAGTAATGAGGTAATCAGGTAATGAGGGTGATTGGTTGCTATAGATAGCTTGTAGTGTGACCACCCGTACGCACCCTGGATATAAATGTCGTTAGATCACAATGGAGACCGAAAACAATAATAACGAAACTAAATTGTAATATAATTTTAATAAGTTTGGCCGCAATTATTCACACAGTCAATCGTATAGTTACTACATGATTTTAATTAGGAATTATAAAATGACAACAAAGAACAGTTAAATATGATGCGAAAGAATACATTATAAAATATATAGTTTTTAGAATTTCATTTGATCCTTTCTATTTTTTTTGTTCATGTGGGTTCCAACTTCGCATTGTTGTACAACAAATGACAAAGAGTCTGCATACTGAGTTCCTTATACTGCTACCATTTGTCATTAATTGATATTATATACCGAAGGCATGCCAAGAGATCTAAATACAGGGAACCAACAATAAAGACCCCTGTATTTTCATCTGCCGGACGATGTCAGATTCCAAGTGATACGGATAGTCAAAATCGAGCATTATAAGCTGACATCCTTAGACGACACACTCCCTTCAAAATTCATATGTTAGCACGTTTAAAATGGTTTAAGCATTATACATAGCAAAATAAGTTCTACTTATCTACTTGCAGTAGATCACGTGGCGTGGAAGTCTGTGTAACAACGTGATTTAAGTTCTATTTTAATATTTTCTTATATAAAGTCATGTATATAAGAACTCCCTAGATGTCATTAATCCATAAAACAAATCAAATAGGAACGTTCACGAGTAAAGTTCAACACAAGTTCCTCCAATAGGATGTACGCTAGATGATCTCTTTCTTCTTAGTTTTCTTTTCCTTGGTTTTTTAACTTCCTCATTCAGATCGTCAAGGGGTTTGGGATAATTTGTGAGATTCTGAGCATTTAGAGATTGTGCACGCTCTTTAAGTGGACTTGATAACAAAATGGTATTTTTAGGAGATTTTGGACTTTCTGGTATATTTTCATGTTCTGATTTAGTGATTTTTCCTACTAAAAGCTTGTCAAAAATATTCGGAAATGACGTAACCGTAACGCTTTGCACATCATGCAAGGAATGTAATTTAGACTGAGATCCTATTTGACTTAGTTTACTTTTTCTTCCATATCCTTTACTTCCGGCCAAATCAAGGGCAGGTAATCCACATTCTTAGACGACACACTCCCTTCAAAATTCATATGTTAGCACGTTTAAAATGGTTTAAGCATTATACATTGCAAAATAAGTTCTACTTATCTAATTGCAGTAGATCACGTGGCGTGGAAGTCTGTGTAACAACGTGATTTAAGTTCTGTTTTAATATTTTCTTATATAAAGTCATGTATATAAGAACTCCCTAGATGTCATTAATCCATAAAACAAATCAAATAGGAACGTTCACGAGTAAAGTTCAACACAAGTTCCTCCAATAGGATGTACGCTAGATGATCTCTTTCTTCTTAGTTTTCTTTTCCTTGGTTTTTTAACTTCCTCATTCAGATCGTCAAGGGGTTTGGGATAATTTGTGAGATTCTGAGCATTTAGAGATTGTGCACGCTCTTTAAGTGGACTTGATAACAAAATGGTATTTTTAGGAGATTTTGGACTTTCTGGTATATTTTCATGTTCTGATTTAGTGATTTTTCCTACTAAAAGCTTGTCAAAAATATTCGGAAATGACGTAACCGTAACGCTTTGCACATCATGCAAGGAATGTAATTTAGACTGAGATCCTATTTGACTTAGTTTACTTTTTCTTCCATATCCTTTACTTCCGGCCAAATCAAGGGCAGGTAATCCACCCTCTAAGAGATTCTCATTATATGTTTTTAGTCGTCTCTTTTCTTGCTGTTCTTTATATATCTTCAATCTATCTCTTATTATATGGTCCGCTACTGCATCAGCCAATTTCCTGGTAATCAAATGAATGAAATGATATTTTACTGCTAATCTTTAGCAATCTTTAGCAATCTGTAGTTCTTTACAGTGACGGAGCCAAAGGGGGTGGGGGCTCAGATATTTCGCCCCAATCCACCCGCCCCCTCGGACGTAAGCCTGGCTCCGCCATTGGATCCTTATTGGGAAAGCTTTGACAAATGCAAGGTTTTATCCTTTTTCTTTCTATGATAGATCGTGATAATGGTGATATTCGGGCATTATATTCATAACGGACCTCTAAAATAATTCTATTGTTAGAAATAAAGGTTCATGTTGCCTTACTTGTAATCAATACCATTTGTGTCTGAACGAACTTCTTTAGCTAACTCTCTCATCTGAAACTTGTGGAGAGGAACGCCAACTCTCTGAAACAACAACAAAAAACCATGTTCATATTCTCAATATTACTTCAATGTCTTTCATGATTGAACGTTTCAATCAGAAGAGGATTTTCAACCAATGAAAAACATTGATTTCCTGACACCAACACACATGCATTCAAACTCACCACGTGAGTTACGGACTCCAAGGGAATTTAACAAATGGCCTTATTTTTGTATTCCAAAAGTCTGTAAATTGGCTGATGTCGTAAATAAATAGAACATCATGCATATCTATCACTTCGATTCATAATACCAAATAAACTGGTAAACTAGAAAACATGATAAAAAATACTACGATTTGGAAAAACGATGAGTAAGATATCTGCGCTAACCGTTCAGTGATAATACAATGCTTAGTTGATATTTTCTGTGAACTTACTTCCATTCGCTTAACAAATTCCTCTTCACTAACAAAATTAGATGTAGTTTTATCAAAATCTCGTAATAATTCTAATGGTCTTATCATAGATTCTTTAATAAATAACAGTAATTTACTCATATTATCAGCGTCTTTCTCTGTAAAATAAAGCACATTATGGTACTATAAATATAATTATATATTATAACAATATAATATTAAATCCGTACAGTGGTTTTCAAACAGCTTCTTAAAAGCATAACGAACTTTAAAAGTTTACGTAAACTTAAAAAATCGACGACAGTTAAAACTTTCAGATACGTTAAAGAACACATTTCTCCAGACTTTGGTGTATAGGTTTCTCAAATTTGAGCAAAAAAATTCGACCTACAAAAAAGCGGAATATATTGTTATTACCGGACAAGCCAATCATGGCACAGTATTCAATTTGCGCCGTATATATATAAATCATTAAAGAAAGATACGCGGCTATGAACATTGACACAACTATGGGTCTGAGCTTTGTTTATTTCTTTTACCTACCTTCACGTTGACCCAATCTATCTGGGCTACCAACTATTCCACCATGTCTTATTTTAAACTCTCTGTGTTGATTTATAGCTTTAGCTAATATACTTGCTTCTTGTAATATACTGATATCCTGCAATTTCATTAAGAACGTGACGTGTTTCTTTGACCAGTCGCCAATACCCAACTGATTGTCCGAATACAACTTCCCAGACAGAGAAATGAGAGCTACCCTGAAACTGCCTACTTTCTCGCCAGATTTAGGCTACTATAGTTTTCAATGAATTAGAAGAGAAAAACAAAGATTTTGCCTGGGTAACGGTATTAGCCTTCTCCATTCTATACAGGATCGGGTGTTCTATAATGGATCTTAACGTGCACAGTTTGTAACACCCGGAGGCTTCAATTTATTAACACATGCCAGCCCCTCTGCTCTATTTTAACTAAGGGAAGACAAAAATGATATGTAGAGGTCTACATTTACCAATAACCATAATATACTTACCTGGAGGTCTAAGAATGTAAGTGAACTATTAGAGTGTGAAGCTGCTGCAACCAGATCCATACATCCCGTTGTTGTTAAACTGTTCCTTCCAATCTATAGGTACCAGGTAATATACAAAGTATTATCAAACATTTATCAAAATTAAAATTTATCCACAAAAGTACACTGCCAATAAGATTCTTCTAAACAATTTATTACGTGGATGTGCTGCTGTAGTGATTGCAAAGTCTCATAGCCATTCTAAACTGCACTTATAACGCAATCCATGATCGGTCAAAGTGGATAATGGCATGATCCGCTCAGCTTGTCTTAACAACCGACATCAACAGTCTTTAGTATCGGCATCTGTAGGGTTATGGAGGAACAAGTTGGCCGGTACACAATTATCACTATATTTCGGTGCTTAATTTCCAGAAACTCTACAAACAGTGGCGTTTCTAGGAAAATTAGTTGAGGTGGGCGAGCAGGGGCCATAAAATTTTGCAAGGGGACACAGGCAATGTTTTCATTATGTAAATTAATACAAATTTTGAAAGTGGGGAAGGGGGTCAGCCTCTTTTCTATTGGGAGGGGGGGGGGCAATATTGATTGAACGCGGGCAATATAATAATCCGATGTTACTACATGTTCTGCTGGTTGTTTTACGTCCTACTTTTCTGCATCAACCAAAATGTGAACAAAAGCCTTACCCTCAACACTTCTAATCCAGTATTATCTTGAAGACCATGAGCTATTAACTGTGCACCATTCCAGTTGATACTATTGTTAGTTAGGTCTAATTCACGTAGTGTTGTATTGGTTTTTAATGATACGCGTAATGCTAAACATCCACCATAACCAAAGCCATTCATATTTACATCTAATACTTTGAGACTGTCATTATACTGTAAATAGTTTGAATTCATTCATTAAGACTTACGTAGATAGACGAGGACAAAAAAAACTGCTGAATGTTTGACTCTCTACAGAGGACATTTTAGTGGTTTAACTCTCTACACAGACTTGGGAGATTATGCCTACACCATTTGTCTACTGGATGCTATCTGAACGAATACAACGTTTTATTGATTGGCATGGGGGATACATTACATTAATGTTCGACTCTCTACAGAGGGGATACAAGACCTTGTTAATGTTTCATTCCCCACAAAGAAGATAAAAGACCGTCGTAATGTTTGACTTCCTACAGAGGAGATACAAGACACTGTTAATGTCTGACTCTCTACAGAGGAGATACAAGACCAAATTAGTGGTTGACTCTCTACACAGACGTGATACGAGATGCCTTGCTTTCCGAAGGGATCCAAAATATGTCAAATGATACATTAACGAAAATTGGTGAAATACAATATCCATCAGTTTTAAAAAAGCAAATCCTACCGCTAAACTCTGACCAATAGCAACAGCACCTTGATTTCTTAAACTGTTCCAACCTAATCGAAGGGTCTCGATCCTAAAATTTTCTCCTATAATAAAAGTTATCATTAGTGTGAAAATATCTTAGATAAAAAAGTTCTCTAGAAAATTATCCCAATAAAGGCTGGAGAAAGTGCTTTGTGCTCGTATACACATGCGTTGAATTTTCTTTGGTAATCCCATTAAAAGATGTATAATCTATAATATAATTTAATTCGATACATATTATGTTGCGCTGTTTAAAGGAAAATTATACACACTTGGATCGCATTGCATAGCATTTTGCATTTTGATTTGTTTGCAGTCTAACCAGACGTCAAATTTCCATTTTGCAACGCTACAATGAGCTCTTCCAGTTAATAGAGGAAGCATTTGTATGACGTCATGTATATACTTTGACCCTTTAAAAATGTTGTTATAAAACTTTTTCCAAAGTCCTTAAGTAAAAATCTTTATTCAATAATGTGAGGAACGCTTGGTGTTAGGGTGTATTGAGACGAGTCTCAATGAAAGCACTGGCCTAGGTCACAGAGCAATAGATAAGTCTATTAATTATGTGAAAATTAGTTAGTCTTGGTCTGAATACTATTGCACCCACCCCTTCTCACATTTTACTAATTGCATGTTAAAATCCATCACATGAAAGGGTAAAAATTGTCAGAGTTTGATCTTGCCTTGATCTCTTCTATTCTTAAACTATAAATGATTTTCAGAATAGTAACAAGCGGAAATTACCAAGACTTGTTGTATAATATGATTTCAATAATTCCAATAATTTCAATAACAGTTCCTACAATTACAGGAAATAGAGCCCACTCATATCATGTACAAGTGATTATATTGAAATGTTAACTGCTGTAAGAGAAATCATGCGCATCGCCTTAACATGTAATATCAATCAATATATTCATAATATCAATTGATATATCGATTATATCAAATTCAAAGCCAAAGCGTGGGCGTTCTGGGTAAATATTTTGATACCATTTTTAACTTTTTTTTCGAAGAATACTGTTTTCAAAGACAAAAAAAATTCTTTGAAATTAAATTCACACTGGCTTTGATTTTCACTTAAAAGGAATGTTTCTGACGGTGTGGTTTTTTTTTTTTTTCGCTTTTTCTGTATTTTTGGGGAGGGATGCTGAAAGCCAGGCGGACCACATGTGAAGTAGCTGCAGAAGAAGAATAAACTGCAATCCTTATGGTTATTTTAATGGCGTTTTTGTTTAAGCCTTTCCAATGAGATTATAGCAACATGAGTCTTTTCATCTTTTTTACAGAAATATGTCCAGATATGAAAGCGATGAAGCAAATTTTACGACTTTACAAAGTTTCAACATTGAGCCATAAGTACATCTTGATAAAATTGTACCAGTTGACTAAATGAAGAGAGAAGTGATTATTATCAAATGAAAATCGATCTGTTTTATCATTTCATGGGTCAGAATATATCAAAGCACTATTTATGTTAACAAGCTCTTTGCGCAGAACGCGATTAATACCTTCATAGATAATAAACGTACACTACTTACCTAATGCTGTGCCTATTACTTGTCCCGACCTCTCTCTGAATTCATTATGACTTAAATCTAAATAGGTGATTGAATCGTTAACCTGCAGAACAAGAGGTATAATCTAGTCGGAACCTTGTTGACATTTACCTTTCCAGAGATAGTGTAGGGTTATAAACTTGCACCTGCTAACCTGCCTAAAAATTATTGTTTACACCTATTAATCACCATAATAGCTATTTCAGAGACTACGTTAGGGTTAGCAGACTGGTTTCAGACTCTCAGTCTACAAGCTGAGTTAGCATTATAATGAGACTATATTTCATTCGAAGTCGGAATCGCCTGCAGTATAGTAATAAAATGATACAGCGGCACCGTCTGGATTTAGATTTGTCAGCCTGGTGTTTCATATCACCTACCTCAATAACAGCCCCAATATATTTAGCTGTTTCCTCACCAAACTTATTGCCTAAAGATAAATACCAAAAATGAGACATGGATGTCAGTAACAAAAGATGAAATAGTCAATTGTTAATAAAGTTAATCATACTGTGTAAAAGTTTACATTCGAATCAACATTTTGTATAACACCCAGTCTTAAACTTGAAATCTCAGAAAATCTTTATTATTAGTTTACATAGTGAAAGAATGGCCTGCTCGGCCCCTTAATCTAATGTTTCCTAGAAACGCCACTGCGTCTACATGCAGCTATATCGAATGCAGTAATTTGGTAAGTTTTCTTTTCCCTTACATTCATGGCAAAATCGGATTTAACTTGCCTGATAAAATAACATGTTTTATAAACTTATTCTTCAGTAATAGATAGGCTGTCCACTTGGCACCTTCAATTCCCAAACTGTTGTTCGACAAATCCTTGATAAGAAAAAAAGAAGCATTTTGTTTCTCAATTGGAGACCTTTTGATCACGAATGGGCGTTTTCATATGCTGAATGGATTTTTGATGTAGAAAATTAATAATGCAAGGCAGCTATGAAACATTTATGGGTCCAAACATCAATAAATTTCAGGTTGTTATGAGAGTGATGCCGTCTGATATTTGTATTTGAAATTTGATTTTCAATGAATCAGGTACCGATGGTGATATCATTTCAATTGACAAAATGCGGCCGTCTTTACGATTTCAGTTAAAGATGGGTTCCCTTAATTTCATTTATGAAAATGAAAATGCTGATACTTATATGAATAGAAGTGTTCTAATGATTTGAAAAAAATACCAGTTTGTCTCAAAAGCCCATAATTAAGTCTTTATTAGCTAAATTCGAAGAGAATTACCAGCCGAATACCGAGCAAGAAAAGTCAAAGTTTTTGTTTATCCAGACTGTACATATAAGGACATTAATGATTGATTAAAACGCTTGATTATATGCAATAAGAACATAATGATATGATTAAGAATACATGATAATTCATTAGAATCACCAATTAATCAAACAGTTTGCTTAATTTGACATTAAAAATAAAACCCATCTTTAAGATAATCCTTTTACGATTTCCTTCTATTTCAGAAATCGAAAACAGCCTGTAGCACAAATGCATTGTTTTTTCTCCTATTCGAATGACAGGATCTTTTGCCATTTTGTCCCCATCATCCTGCATTACTGACAGGGGAATTTGGGGAAACTGGGTTGAAAAATCCGAGAACACCATCTCGATCACCACGATCTAATGTAGTTTAGGAATCTATTGTAACTTACCAGATAATTAACAGTAACATTATCAACTAAACCTTCTGCTAAATATTTCATACCATCACCTTGTATATCACAACCATCTAATACTAGTCTCTCTACTCTCATATTGTTCTGTAATATCAGTATGGAAGGGTTTCATTGCCAAAGTATTTACAAATAGAATCTTAAGAGTCAATGTCACAATGAAAGAAAGTAAACTTTTAAGCTTAAAAAAGTACCATATTGGGTTGCCAACAAACCACGTGTCTCTCAAATCATTTTCTAACTATATTTTACAAGGATAACATCTTAGGTTCACAATTAAGGATCCTTTCTACCAGATGGTCCTTGGTCAAACTTCTTGGCGTTAATTATTCCCAGATTATCCGTACCCATTTACAGATCGAGATCGGAACGTACTCGCAACAATAAAAACACTCCCATTCTTACCTTCAAGGATTTTGACAGTGGAATCATATGAGATGATCCTAAAGATCTGTACTGTAAATTGATAGTTCTTGTTTCCAGGGAGTCCATGACTTTATTTTGAGGAACCACCTGCGGCTGGTACCAATTCTTATTAGTATTACAAGACTGTATGTATAGCTGTTTACCAACGGTGGATACATTTTCAGAACTTTGGTTGTCTTTAAATAGATAAGAACAATAACCATTGTTATTAATTCTGATCAAACAGCAACTGTAATATACACAATAAGAAAAAAAAAGTTTAAAAAAGTACTTACCCTTATCATTATGGACCTTTGTTGATGTGTGAGTGTCTTCACATTCCAAATCAGTATCATAAAAATCACTGTTATCCTCTCCCGACCCGGGTTGTTTCTCTTCAAATATGGTAGGTAATAATCCTGATGCCATTTTAAAGAACTATTGCATCTACGTCCAATGTTAACTTCATCTAAGTTAAATGTTTACTTCATGCAATTTTAATGTCTTTTCTTCTAAGTTAAATGTTCATTTCTTCAACGTTCAACGTTCTATGTTCACTTCTTCAAAGTTAGATGTTCACTTCTTCTACGTAACTGAATGTCAAAACTTCTAAAAGCTTATACTACTTTCGAAAATTTGTTGTGTGAATCTTCTCTTTTGAAATGAATATCAAACATCCATATGTTGCTACTAAAGGCTCCGCTACATGAACAGTATATGCCCGTATTTCTATGAAATATGCCTGGGTTTCAAACATCATCCTCCAACTTCTAAACACAAATCAAATCAATACCTAAAAACAAACTGTGATTTGTTTTGACTCACAGACTGGAACAGAATAACTACATGATACAATTTTCACCCCAATCGATTGATGAATTGGAGCTAAATTAAATAACGGTGTCCATAGAGGGAGTAAATAATAACTGTATTGTTTCGGTTAACACCGCCTAGTTAATTATGAACTATATCTATATAATTGTTCTTAATGAATTAGGTAACTATATATATATATATATATATATATATATATAAGTATGAATGTCTCATTAAGGCATATGTCATCTTATTAGAAGACATTGTTTCTCCGCATCAATTATTCAAAGAGGGGAAGGCAGAGAAAATTAAACTTTCCGTAACAAACTTCTATATACTAGAGTAAACTCATGATGGCCTTGCTACTGATGGAATCTGAGAGCATCTCGATTTTTATCGAGTGCGTGCATCTGGTAGAATCTGTCCAATCGCCAACATGTAGGCATAAGCGCAATCATGACTGAGTAATAGCACTTGCAATCTAAGGTAGTCATATTCACCCTCCGAAACATGTACTAAGTGGCGACGATCGTCAACAATTGCTATGCAAAACTTACGTGCAATGCTTTGGATTCTATCATTTAACCTCTTCTTGCGACAGGGAATTATAGTGGAGAGTAAGTAGAGCGGCCAAAAGTGTGAAAGAAATAAAAGGCAGTGAGAGGAGACATGGGTTGAAGAGAGAATCGCAAGGGAGGTAGGAAGAAGTGACAGGTTGAGAGGAGACATGGGAAGAAGAGGCACGAGAAGAAGAGGTAGAGACGGGGTGTGAAGAGAGAATCACAAGCTGAGGCAGTTTGGAGGATTAGACAGGGGGAACAGGGGGGAGAGCAAGAAGAAGTTGGCTCAATGAGATGAAAGGAGATAATGGCCAGAGGGGAAAGGAGTTAGGACTGCACTTGGAAGCTTTGCCTTGAGAGGATCAACTGGAACAGGGATAGTAGAGAGTATAGTATTCATTTTAGATGGGGAGTTGCATTAGTTGCTGGGTATATGGGCAGTGTCAGAGAAGGTATAGAGATATTCTCTTAAATTGAAAGGTACTTAATCTGTACCTTCGTGCAATGCTTCGAATTATAGTACTCCGAAGACTTATGAAGGGTCGACATTTTCCAAAATCTCTGACCACTTTGTTTCTGCCACGCCCAAGCGTCTAAAATTGTATTTCATAAGTAAGCTGAGTGGTCAAATAAATTTGAATAGAATTCCCTCCCTTGAAATTAAACGTATACATAACGTTTAAATTTAATATTATGATTCGCTGTTCATGAAAAGTCGGTTTCAAGATTCATAGATCCAGCTATTTTCTCAGATTGTTGTATACATCATAAGATAATAAATAGTATCGCAAAATAGTATTTTTTGACTCGCCAATTGCTATGCGATACCGCTAAAATTCAACTCTGTTTCATATCAATACATCAAAGGTATCAGATGTCAGATATCGAATGGTTTTAACACCCTATCTTCAATAATAAAGGAAATCAGCTATCCATCAATCTCTTTCCATTTTATTGAAGTATTTAGTAATGTCCTATGTTTAGTCTAGTCTTAGTTTAATTATGTGTAAAGAAAATGAATAAAATAGGAGATAAGGAGGAACCTTGCAGAACGACTACATTATGCCAATATTGATTATATTGAATTTCCTTTTATCATCAACAATTACATTATTTACAGATATTTATCTTCCTAGCTTCGAGCCATTCCCTTAATCAATAATTATATTAATATTATGAATAACTTTTAACTTTAAATACCAAAGTTAATAGGTGATTTGGTGCGAAAATATCGCGTCCAGCTAGTTAGCAGGATTATGTTGGTGCATGTAAGTATGGTTTCATATTCTGCGAATTCACCGAAGTGTAAGTGCATGACTCAGAATGACTTCACTCACTCAGATGAAAGCAATTCGCCATTATTTAATTGATGATTTACAGGATGTCAAGTTTAATTCTGAAAAGTGAATCTGGAAGAAAGCTAGCCTACTTGCTATTTTTCCTTCATATACTGATTTATTTCCATAATAACGTCAATATCGCTAAAACTATTTGGCTTGAATGTTGTTTTTGAAATTACCGTAACTTAGACCTATATATACATCAAAATCGAAATCGGAATAATGCTACAAATACAGATAAGCGACATATTCACACACAACTGTTTTAATAGAATCAATTTTGAATCCCTTTGATGCATTTCGCACTATCTGAAGGGATATACAACTATATATAGACACAGCTTTATGGAACAANA